AATGTTACAAAACTGTTCAGAGCATTATTGTGTAGTCACTGCGATTTAATTTTTGTAATTTGATACAAAATCCAAGTCTATTGCTAATAGAAAAAGAGAATTTTTTTATAATAATTAACTATTTGAGAATTTTATATCTTAACTCTTTATTTAATTGTTTATCTGTTATATCTAGACAAGCTCTTAGACACTTGAAACAATTCCCTAATTCTAGACTTCATAAAATGCTGATGAAACTTCAAATTGATCAAATTGAATCATTTGATACATGGCTTACACAAGCTGAACAAAGTATAAATAAACAATTAGAAAAAATGGAAGAAGATTTAGTTAGTGTTGATCGACAATATCGTCATTTAGCTCAATTACAAGATGAACTTGTTGCTCAACAACAAATAACTGAATCTTTACAAAATATGGTTATTGTTATTGATGATACAACAATAAATGGTGTTGATACACCAGCATCGAAATATACATCAGCAGAGATTGAAGGTAAATTATTGAATTTAAGTGAACGATGGGCAAGTATATGTACATTTGTACAAAATCGTTGGATACAATTACAAGAAGTTAAAATTGAACTTGAACAAGTTGAATTAAATCAAGAAAAAGTTAATCGATGGATAACACGTAAAGAAGATGAAGTAACAAAAATGATTGCAGAAACAAATATTAGTGATACTGATATACTCATGCAACAAGTTCATTCAATTAAGGTAATGAAAATTTTTACTAATAAATAGATGTTAATCTATCAGAAGAATAAAAATTTCACAGATTTTAGTCTAATAGTTAGATATTATAATCCTATATATAATAGACTATTGTGTCAACACTAGAATAAAATAGAAGTGGGTGTAAGATAAATACTTTGATGATAGAAATAATTAGTAATATACTATTTTTATTAATCAAAAAAGTCGTATTTGAGATATAACATAATCATCTAAGAACTATTTATATTTACAAAATACATACTTTTTAAAATAGAAGGAATCTGTCTGAATTCATATTATTTAAAGAAAAAGAATATCTCGTCTTTCGGCTTAGAATACTAGAGGATGTTTATTTTATTTTTTCTAAAATTTGATATAACTGAAGATTAAAAGCTATTTGAACTGTTTACGTACATTGTTTAATCGTATACTAGCCTGAAGGATCGATTTATGTCACACATGGTTCATATAAGATTGAATACATATAGCTGTTAGTAATATGTCTATGATTATTTCATGACTTATAACATTGAAATTATCATTACTTAGAAGTAATTTTTGTTTATTTAGAAAACTGAACTAGAAATGGATGATATTCGTCAATCAATTCTTGCATTAGATAATAGTTTAAAAGTATTAAGTACACATTATGATAGTAAAACATCCAAACAATTACAAACCTTAAATGAAACAATAAATACATTTGAAAAACGTTGGAGACAATTACTTGATAATCTGGAACAATGTTCTGCACGTGTAAATATTCATTTATTAAATTATTTCTTTAATATAGAAAAATAAATGAAATTATTTTTTATTTTTAGTTAAAAAAATCTCCTTTAAATTTTGAAACAAGTGTAAAAACAAATATTAGACCTAATAGTGATACTGTTGAAAAAACAATTACAACTATTGTAGAAGAAACAACAATAAAAAAACGAAAAATTGATATTGAAAATTCTCTTAAACATGAATTTGATTTATCTGCTAGAAAATTTCTTGATTGGATTGATAGTATTGAAAGAATATTAGCTGCTAAAGAAACAAATAATTTAAAAGCAAATGAAAGAAAAGAGATCGTCAGGGAAGTTAAAAACAAATATATATCATATGATGATCAATTTAAAGCATTACTTCAAACAGGCAATACAATAACAAAAGAATTTAAAGATGGTAAAGAATTCTTTTCTATTGAATAAAAATAAAAAAAATCTTTTTATTTATTTTTAAAGCAAAAGAAGATTCAACTGAACATGAAGCATCTTTAAGAACACTTGAAATCCGTTGGCAATCACTTTATAATCAAATAATTCAATGTGAACGAGATGCTGAACAATTTATAAATCAAACAGAATTTGATGAAGAATTCCAAACACTTATGAGAGAAAGAAATGAATATCAAACATGGATTGATGTTAATCAATCAACAAGTTCAACAGCAGAAATGCAGGTAAAAATAATGAAGATATAGGAAACAAATATTAATTAGATGTTATTTGATATTCCATTATGTATATGTCAATAAGGCGAACGATAATTGACAGGTGTTACCCTTTATATATATATATATTTTTCTTGTAGTTAGGAAATGAACGTTTACTTATGTAAAGATAGTTCCTCTAATGGTTATTTCTTCCAAGAATATGTGTAGTATAACATACATATTTAGATAAACGATATGGAATGAATGATTGAATGATTATATTCTCATGTAATTACGAATAAGCTTATGATAATATCATATATATACAAAAGCTTTTGAGATAAGGAAAAAGCCGAAAAAGATATAATAAATCAATATTTTGTTCAATCTTCCTATCATTTATCGGTAGTTATAAATACATAATTAATAAAAATTCATCTTTGTCTCTTGAGCAATGAACAATTTTGTATACTTTCATATCCTTTGTTTTTGTTATTACGCACAATTTACTATTTACACAATAACATTTTTTTTGTCTATTCATACCATAACTAATACATTTTATAAATGTTTATCATTGCTAGATACTTATTTATGGTTCTATTTGTTTAAATATCTGTATGATTGATAGATAGATAGTTAGATAAAGTATTGATACTATTTTCTTTAAATTCATTTAAAATTTGAATTGGGATAATTCTTTTCTTTTTCTTTTTGTAGGTTAGATTAAAACGTTTTGAATCGTTCAATGACCGTCTTACTAAATTACAACACATGGCTGACCGTATCGATACAAATAGTGTTCAACGAACAAAGCAATTGCTACGTTTATGGGACCAGACAAGTTCACGACTACGTAAGTAAATATATAATTATGTCGGTTTTCTTTTCTTCTTTTCAACTGTGTGATATTTGATTTTATTACTATCAATTACTGATTTTCTCCTTGTTTCTTACTCTTGTGCATCACGCTTTTTTGCTATCACTGCTTTACTTGCAAACTCTGTCGTTGATTAGTGAGCGGCATTCTAATTATGCGTGCATGCATGCGGGTCACCTATAATATAGTTGACCGAATCACACAAAAGAAAAGAATGGTGAAATTATCTATTCTGACCGCCAGTCCATCGTTCTCAAATTAATACGTTGTCTTCCTTTTTTTCTTTGTTTTGTTCTTCTTTTCTTTGCCATTATCGGATAAAAGCATCCAAGCACACACCCCGACTTATTTTGGGTTGAACGTGTGATACTGATCAAGCTATATGAATACTATACATGTGTATGTATAAATACGTATATATATATATATATATATATACATCATCAATGTCATGGTTGGAATTATGGTCGTTATATATATGATCATATAGTATAGCACGCGACGACAGCAAAGGAAAAAAAAGAACAAGTACAATATGACGGGCGAGCAATGAGTTTGTCGTTAGTAAATTTGGTCTTGTTCCCGCTTTGTCTATATATGTGCAAATGATGCTGCTTGAATTTTATCCTATTATAGCAAGAGAACGAGTATGAGAAAGAAAAGAGAAGGGAAAGAGAGAGAGAGAAAGAAAGTTCTCTCCATCTCATCTATCTTACTCTTCAATATGAATCTATATGTATATATATGTAGTTGTTCTCCCGTGTGTCACATTGACAGCGACGAGGTGTAGTAGTGTCATCTAATTTACAAATGAAAAAATAGAAGAAGGAGAAGAAGAAAAAGAACGAAAGTACGAGAGAAACAACATTTTGTTGTTTTCTTACTAGACACGTAGATATATCATTACACTCGACTGTCTTCTCTAGTTGATTATTAGTATAACGAGTGATATGATATAGTTCTAGTTTTTAGATATCGTTAGTTTTGTTTTTATATCTTTGCTGTATCTCTTTATTGTCTGATAAGGTGAGGGCACTAATCGCGATAAACGTATGCCGCAACCATCCGGAAGTACCAATTTTGGTATGATGTCACCTCGTCATGGAGGTGCATCAGCTGTACCACTAAGTCCAACTCGAACAGGAACAAACGAACCGCCATTATCATCTCCTAATACTGGTACTGCTCCTATGGGTTCAAATGTTGGTTCATCAACTAATGAAAATGGAAATCTATTTACTTTAACAAATATTTATACATTTGGTGATAATGGACATTCGAATATAAATCCATCAGCAGATAACTATCGTATAAAATCATTTGTTGAAGTATTTGATCAACCATCAACTCAACAAGAAACTGAATATGAACGACATTATCGTGAAACACATTCATCATCATCTATAACACGAAAAATACATACGAATTCTAGTGATACATATGATTACGATTCATCACGTTTTCATCATCATTTCGACTCAACAAATCCATTATCAACAAAACATATAACAGGTAGTTAATTTTGTAATTAGAAAATCAATATTATTTCTATAGAAAAATACGCAGATACGTGATATTAATGCTTGTGCATGTAATGCTTTGCTTTCTAACCTGCTTGACTGCTGTTCTTATATCAAAGAGAAAAAAAATTTTTTTTTTGTTTATTTAACATTTGTCTATATCTCTAAGGATATTTTTCTTTTGATATTATTAATATCATTATTTTTTTCCTTCTTTGCTCAAGAGGATTAATAATTCAGTTAAAAATATATATAATCAAATTTCAAAATACACAAATGTCTAACAAAAGAAAAATTTCATTATTTAAAAAAACTAGAGGTTGAAATAAACGATTTCTGGACTTTGAGTTCTTATCAAAACTTTATATAGAATTTTAATTTTATTACAAAACTGGCTATTACTTAATTTTATTAATGAATATTTTTGCTAATTCTAATAAATTCGACAATATTGAAAGATGTATTTATTTCATTCAGATCCAGCTGCAAATCTAAGTACATCCAATAGTTTATCATCATTACCAACAAATTTTATGGATACTCAACATAATTTACGTCAATGGCTTGAAGGTGTTGAACAATCATTATTAACAGATAAAGTTCGTGTTGTTGATCTACAAGCTATTGGTGCAAAAAAGAAAATTTATAAAGATTTACTTGATCAAACATTAGAACAAGAAATAAGTATGGAACAATTAAATATGACTGCAAGAGATCATTATCCTAAATTAGCTGTTGATACAAGTCGACGTTTACAAGAAGAATTAAAAAATTATCAAGATCGTTTATATGATGTAAAAATGTTTTTAAGTGAACGTTTAGCTAAATATAATCGAGTTGATAAAACATTAAGTGATTTCGAAAGAAGTATTGATGAAGTTAAACTTTGGATACGTAATGTTCAACCACGTTTAAATGCAACAGATACTTCTTATTCAGATTCACGTGTACTTGAAAATCAACTTGGTCGTAGTCAGGTAAATATTGAAATGTTTTTTTGAAAAATCAAAAGATTTTTATTTTTGTTTTTTTTTTGAAGATTCTTCAACATGAAATTCGTGAAATGCAAATAACTATTAATCGTTTAAATAAAGATGTGGTTGATTTAACTCAAGATGCCGATGAAAATTTAGCTCGAAAATTACGTGAAGAAATGAGAGAATTAAATGAAAGTTGGAGTCATATTATAAGTTCAACAAAAGTTAATTCAAAAAATATTCAGGTTAGAAAATATGCATTGATTCTCATAAGAGAGAAAGAAAAACATTGATAATTAGTGATCATAAATCAGTTCGGATATAAGAAGAAACTATCATAGAGATAATTGATGTATATAAGAGAGATTGAATGCTTACTAAAATAGAAAAAAAAACGTTATGTTTATACAGAACTTTAACCTTTAATTAGAGGAAATTTATTCTCTACAAGATTAATATTAACTTAGTTTATCTAACGATCATTTCTATATACTCTTACGCAAGCTGCAAAACTAATCTATACTAGATTTTTTTATTAAATTTAATAGAGAAATCCTTGATTAGAAAAAGAAAGGACATGTCGAAAGCTCAAGTAATAGTTAGATCATATTACATGAGAGTTTATCCAAGTTAAAACAAAAACAAGTGTCAAATGATATCATATTGATTACTAGATCATGCATCACATGTAAACTATCTATCACATAGTACTGAAAGATTTTTATTTTGTAACTAAATACATTAAGATAATTATATTTATATTACGTTTCATTTTCTTAATTATCCACATGCTTGTAAAATCAAATCATTGATCGCAATTTCATTCTAACATCTGTAAATAGATAGAATTCTTTATTTTGAGTATAAGATAATATTTGCAACTGAAAAAGGAATGACAAATAAATTTAAATTCTAACTATTCTCTTAGGATGCTTTGAAACGTAATAAAGTTTTACAAGAAGAAATTCAAGAATTAGAAGATTGGATTACGGATAAAGAACGTGAAGCACCCGCTGATGATGGACCAATATTTTATCAAGATCAACTTCGTGAACGTCTTGATCAATACCAAGTACGAAGGAAAAAGTTTTGGGAAATTTTCTTTTTTCTATTTATATATTATAGAAACTTCAGACTGAACTTAATCTTAAAGAACATACAGTACGAAATTTAGTTCTTCAAGGTCGACAAGATTTAAATAATCCATCTCCATCGGCACCTGAATTAGCTCAAAATTTAGAAACACTTATTTCAAATTATACAAATTTACAAAAAAAAGTCGATACAAAAGTTATGTTTTATACAGATATTCATGAACTACATGAAGACTTAAAAAGTAATTTAAGCAAAAAAATTCATAAAATAAAATTCTTCTTTTGTTTTTTTCTTAAAACAGATTTATTACATCAAGAAAATGTTTGGCTTGATGGTTTACAAAATAAAGTTTTTTCATCATCAAATAATGGTGCTGATGCTGAAGAAATTTCCGAAGAACTTGATGTAAAAAAATTTTCTTTTATATAAAAGAAAAAAATCTAATTTCTTTTTCTAGACTCTTGAACGTTTTGTTAAAACTCATTCAAAAACAAATTATGAAAAAATGTTTGAAATATCCGATCGTCTTCAAGCAACTAAAGTCTCTATACCAGCAACAAATAGTCAATTAAATCAATTTCGTATACGTTGGGAACAATTACATGATGATGTAAATCTATCAAAATAAATACATATATACATCTATATCTTTTAGGCATTTAAAAAACTTCATACATTAAATTCTCAAATCTCTGATTATCAACATATGGGTCATCAAATAACAGCTATGTTTGAATGGATGAAACATACAGATAACACACTCAATGCAAGATTAAAAGATGATGTTTATGCGGATGATGTACCAGGCGAAGCTGAAGTAATTATACATATATTTGTAGATTTATAAAATAAATATTGTTTTTTTGTAGAAATTAATTATTGAATTCAATCAATATGAAGCATTTTTACGTAGTATTGATGATAAAATTCATGCATTAAGAAGTACAGCAAAAACTGAAGCTGCAAAACGTCTTGAACAACAATTAGTTTTATTACGAGTAAGCATTATGATATGTACAAATATTGAATATTTGATTTTTTTTGTTTATTAAGAATCAATTTTTACAATTACACATAAAATTCCGACAATTTCAAAAACCTTCCGATTTTGAACCAAAATTTGCTAAAATGCGTCAAATTTTAATTGAAATTGAACATAATGTTCATATACTTGATGTACGTTCCGATGATCCAGATGTTATTCATAATCAATTAGAAAATTGTCTAGTAAGTTAAGAAATTAATTTTTCAAGAAAAAATAATTCAACGTTCTTCATTTTAATAGAAACTTTATAAAACATTATCTGATATTAAATCTGAAGTTGAATATGTTATACGAACAGGACGTGGTATTGTTGAAAAGAAACAAAGTGATGAACCACATGATTTAACAAGACAAATTGATCAGTTGAAAGCTCAATATAATAATCTTGGATCCAAAGTATAATTCGAATTTTTTTGTATTTCTTGTTGAATTATGTTTTGATTTTTATAGGTATCAGGAGCAAAAAATCAATTAGATAGTATTGAACGTCATTTACGAAAATTTCGTAAAGAATATTCTCATATTCATGAATGGTTTGTTAAAGCAGATAATGAAATACGTAAAATTGAAAATAAACAAATATCAAAAAATACGAAAGAAGAAATTGATTGGATACGAGTATGAGATTTTTTTTAAGTTAAATATTTTTCATGTTTTTTTTAATAGGCAACACGAAATGATATTAAAAAACTTGAAGGAAATTTTGAGACATTAAAAAATTTAGAACGTACAATACAAAAAGAAGCTGATCGACCATTAACTAGTCTTCATGATAAAGCAATTGAATTAAAAAGACAAATTGATCAATTAGATCGAAGACTTAAAGATCGATCGGAAATTGTTGAGGTAAATAAATAAATAGTTTTTTTTCTTTTTTATTCTTAGATCATAAATGGAAAGTAAATGTCATTGAGAGAAAGAGAGAGATGATATCCTACATTTTACTATGTAACCTTAGATAATATGATTGGATTAGATTTCTATATAAAGAAATAAAGAATCTCTATGATGCAATCCTACAGTTGTCGTCAATTCGGATAACGCATAATATACATATTGACGTAATCAATACAAGTGCTCGTCCATGTGTAATAGTGTTGAGTTCATAGAAGCATTTGTTTTCTCAACTAAAATCTGTTGATAACATATCAATTATGCAGTTGACCGATTCCTTATTGAAACAATGAACTTAGTATTATATATATTATATACTTGATATGAGACATGTACGGGAAAAGCAAGCATATTGTTACATCAATCAAGAGGTTCTTTTTTTATATTAGCATAACTAGACAGAGAGAAATGTGGAAAGAGGTATCCAATCGATCGTAGTCGATGATTTATTTGTAAGAAAAAGCAAAGACGAGACGACAGCGTGTGCTCGAACATCCGATCAGGATGTATCCTTTAGTATAATCAAACGTAGTGCGGAACATAAAGGAAGTTTGTTTGTATGTGTATATACGTGTACGTATGTCACTTATTGACGGTCAAAGAACATAACGGACGTTTATGTTATCTTAAAGATGCCATTGCATTTTCTTTTGTACCATTTCTATATCGCGCGCGCCCATACTTAGTTTTCTCTCTATTCTTTCTTCCTTCAGAAATATACTCATTCGCCTGTTCTGTTCCTTTTGTACATTTTTTTTCTCGATGACTCCAATCCATTAGTGCCTTTATAGAAAACAAAAAAACCGCAATTGCTCTCTTTTTCTTGTCTACCCCCAAAAATATTACTGTCTGCTGTTCTTTCTGACATATATCTTATGCGCATTTTCTTCCTACGTATTCTGTAATGCATTATTATTATTATTATTATTATTATTATTAATGAAGAGAGCAGGAACTCGAACATATTTTCATAGAGAGAGAATAGTAGTGATTCAGCCTTGACATCGAACTGTGCTAATTGTATTTAGTATTCATACTGATTCATTGTACTTATGAATAACCTAATAGTTTTCGTAGAAAAAAAAACAGATTCCTATTTATATCCAGTATTTTAACTTGGTATCATTGTCATTAATCACAACTCGTTAGCCTTTACTATATATATATATAT